GCTGTGTTTCTCTTCCTCCCCCCCCCCCCCCCCCCCAACCCATTGCCTATCTCTATGGGCTGACAGACACAGGCAAAAGCAGGCTAAGGAGCAGAGGGGCGAGGTAGTTCCTGCTCCACTGGGGCAGGCATCGTAGTCCAGGGCTGCAAAGCATGCTAGGATGCTGGGGGACTGTGAATTAACTTGAACCAGGAAGGGATCTGGAACAAGTTCCATAAACTGGTTTGACCTAAATCAGTTAAGTTTCATACTACGTCCAACCAGGTTTATCTTGAAGTAGTTTTGGTCATTTTGAAAAGTGGTTTATGTGCACTGAATTTCTATTCTGTTACATGTTTAAACCAGTTTCTGATCATTTAAACCAGTCTATGTGTAACTTCTGTCCCTAGCCTTAGATTACATGTATTGGATATTAGGGCTTTGTGAAGCTTTGGTCCCTAATTCAATTCGGCAGAGATTTGGCTGAATCTCTCAATCCAAATCAAGTTAGAAGACCCTCTTATTTCTCCGAATTGAATTGGAACCCTCCGAATTGATTCAGAGAGATTTGATGATTCGGACATACAGCTTTAAATATTTTTTTTCTACATACCTCAAGGTAGCAGGTGGCTCGTGAATGTTGAGATGCTGGGGTGCATGGAGCATCCCATAGAAGCATGGGGGGATCCCCAGTGCGCTCAGCAGTAGACCCAGAAGTGGACCAGAAGCACTTCTGGGCCTGCTGTGGAGCATGGTGGGGGTCTCCCCCACACCTCCGCGGCTCAGCAACTGGTGCCTCCTGGGTCTGGGGGTGGCACCCAGGGTCCCCCTGTGGCCGAATGCTGAGCTGGGAGGGCTCAGGGTCCCTCCAACGTGCTCCCTGGTGGACCTGGAAATGGACCGGAAATAATTCCTACCTACTTCCGAGTTTGCCACTGAGCATGCGGGGGCCCCCACCACGTTCCTGTGGGATGCTGCATCCGCCCCAGCATCGCAGCGTTCACAAGCCATGCCTCGAGGTATGTAGAAAAAACATTTAAAGCTGTGTCTATGGCCGAATCGCCGAATCTCTGAATCGGCATTGAATCTTTAGATTCAGATTTGGCTAAGTCAAATTGGGAACAGTGTTCTGAATTGAATCACTGTCCCCGATTTGGGCCGAATCCAAATTGAATATGACCTGTTTCGCACACCCCTGTTGCATATGGACACACATGTTTGGAGGCATTTTAAAAGAGCAGCAGCTGTTGCATTCTAATTTATCATTCCTGGCTTGTTCACATGTAATAAATCTAGCTAAATCACTCCCAACTTCAATGCTGGATGAAGCAGTGTTAAACTTGGGGCAGTTTTGCCACACTTGCCTGGCTTGTCCCCATGTAATTAGAACCTACCAGTGTGTGCTTTTTTTTTAAATGCCTCGAAATGTACATATGTCCATACCCATTAAGAATAGGTTAGCAGTCTTGGATGCAGGACTAACTCTGTTGAAGTCCTCCCTGTTCGTATTGTTTTCCATTTTGATTCTGACCGTCTGTAAAGTTGGGTTACCTTTCTAGGTGTAACCTGCACTTTTGTTTTGTATGAATAATTGTTGATTAGTTCACACATAATAACCTTTTCCTACTCTCATCTAATACCATTAGTTATTTTAGTTGTGTGATTGAGGCCTGTATTGGAGGGCTTCAATTATGAAGATTAAAAAAAAAAAAAAAAAATATTGAATAGCTTCTCTACTCGGTGAATACTGTCCTGCTTTTGCATGAAATCAGTCATAGCTAAAAGCTAATATGAAATGCACAAGAGGGCAGAATTAAAGTTGCACAGGAAAATGAGTGCTTGACTTGGTAACTGAAATCAGAATACTAAGCAACATTATTTTAATTTAGCTTTATTTAATGCATATGTCATCTTAGTTTTATTAATTTAACTATCTTTTAGTTGCTCATCTTTCTTTCATTTAGCAAAAGTGAACTTTAGCATTAACTGTTTATTTTCCGTATGTATTTTTTCCAAGAGGGGCATTTTAATACCCCTTTAAAGTGTCAAATGCATTTGTAAGGTAATATTTGTTCATTAGGATCCCTTAGCTGTGCCAGAATGCACTGCTACATTTTTTTAAGTCATAACAGGTATCTTCATGAGAACTCTGACTAGACTTTTATAACCTCTGGCCACTTGAGGCTGTGCTTTCAAACATCTTTCAATGAGTTGTTTTGTATTGGTACCAATTCCCGACTGATTTGAGGTATTCATTAAGAATACACGCTTTTAATTTTTTCTACCACCGATACGGATTCATATTGATGTATAAGGAAAATATAAAATCCTTTGTATTGCTTTTGTTGCTTGCAGCACTCCATTTTTCAAATATTTTTTATGCTGTGGAGAAACGAGTACAATCTGGACCTCCATATTAAAATGCTTTATGTTACTTTAATTGAGGACTCTGAAAACTACATTTGAATACTTGAGAAGTGGAACTGGGTAATACATATGTATTCATGTATATTTAGCATTCCTGATTTGGCATTAAAGGCATATCAGGAGGAGAGGAGAATCTTTAATCTGCCTAGAATAAAGAGCAAAAAATTAGAACTAAAACATTAGTAATTGTATTGCCACCACACTGCATTATTATTATTTTTTGTAAATCCTTTTCATGGAAATATTCTAATGTTAAGCTTGAGAAAAATGCCACTTACGTAGGAGAGGAAAATGAATACTACTTAAATACCAATCTTCTGTATGTGTGTCCTAAGATAAAATTGTAATATAACAAGAAAGCATGTATTTAACCTTCTTAAATCAATATTAAGAATAAGTAAGCCTTCTCCATTTGTTCTTGAAAGAAACTATTACTGTGTTCCAGAGTCAAGGTGCAATAACTGAAAGGCTGAGAAGTTTCAGTATGCATGATTTAACAGCTATTCAAGGAGATGAGCCTATAGGACAGAGACCCTATCAGACTTTACCAGAAACCAGAAGGAAAACCAAAAGTTCAGTCAATGAATCTCTGGGTATGTATTATCTTTCTCAAATTTTTCATCCCTTTTGTGCCATTGAATTCTGATAAATGAAAGGGAAGGAATAAGTACTGTTTTTGTCTTTAAATATTTGCAAACTGTCTCCTTATTTAAAAAAAAATTGGTATTCATCATAATATTTTTTAAACCATTGTAACTAAGGTTGTGGATTTGTTTTATCTTGTAGGCTCTTTCATAAAAACGAGAGTAAGGTATGAGAACAACTTATTTAAGTGAACTACGTTTGTGAGCCACTTAAGCCCATGAACCGCTAGTTTAGTGAAGTAGAAGACAAATATTTTGGATTCTACTTGTAACTGTTACTAGTTGTATCTGTTCTGAAATTGTAGAAATTGAGTAAATAAGTATGAAAGGTAAATTTAACAAGTTCATAATGTTGGCAAAGTCACTGGTTAAAAGGTGAATCTTCTTGTTTGGCAGTAACAAAGTTAGTCATTAAGTTGTCACAATACAAAAATATTAAAACAATATGTCTTATATATTTTAGACTGTATCATGTTAATATTAAGTTAAAAAGATATATTGTAGCCATTGGTGGATCTAGGATTTTGAAAAGGGGATGGAGAAAGGTGGGGGTGCATTATCACCAGGGTTCCAGGTTTTCTGGTTCCCATGGAAAAACAGAGAAAACCACATATTTCCTGTTTTTATTAGAGAAAAAATGGATCTTACCTTTTAGCAGAGAAATCTGCAGATCTCCCAGTTTTGCAAATAGCTCTGCAGGCTGGCAGGGTTCCAGCCTGCAAGAGCTTAATTGCAAAAAGGGTGAGAAACCTCTAGCCCTGCCCAGAGGAGAAGAGAGAGGAGGAAGGATGGGGTCTGAGGCTTGCACTCACCCGAGGCTTGGATCAGGCTCACTGTTCATTCGTGTAGCCTGTAAGGTAGTGGGGCTTGGGCTTGCAGGGCAGGGATGGGTGGGAAGCTGGCTGCTAGAAGCTGGCTGGGGTATGAGCCAGATTGAGAATGCGGGGGGGGGGTGCAGAGTGCGTCTCTATGCCTGCTCGCAGGGCAGCAGTGCCCCTCTCTGGGCCACACACGCGCCACCCAGCCAGATGGGGGGGCGGGGTTTGCACATGGTGGGTGCCACTGCCCCGCACTGTCAGTACCGCACCCTATGCTGCGTTGCCACTGCCAGTTGCCCCATGACTACTTTGCCGTGGCTGGGGGAGACCCCCCCCCCCCCCCCCCCCTTTTGGGCCCCCCCTCCGGCTGCACCCCGGG